GCGACTCCTCCTCCGCTGGTTCTGGACTGCAGACTTGTAATCCGAGATTATGGAGATTATTTGTTTTTCAAAGAAGGCTGATAGGCTCAGGGTCATAGTGTAGATCTGGAGATTAAACAATGAAGATCAAAAATAACATTCTCTCACAGGACACACAGTGTGCCTTCAGAAAGTATTCACTTATTCCACATTTTGTTGTGTTACAGCCTGAATTCAAAATTGATTACATTTATTTTTCCTCACCCATCTACACACAATACCCCATAATGACAAAGTGAATACATGTTTTTAGAAATATTAGCACATTTATTGAAAATGAAATATTTAATTTACATAAGTATTCACATCCCTGAGTCAATACATGTTAGAATCACATTTGGCAGTGATTACAGCTGTGAGTCTTCCTGGGTAAGTATCTAAGAGCTTGCACACCTGGATAGTACAATATTTGCACATTATTCTTAAAACAATTCAAGCTCTGTCAAATTGGTTGTTGATCATTGCTAGACAGCCATTTTCATGCCTTGCCATAGATCTTCAAGACGATTTAAGTCAAAACTAACTAGGCCACTGAGGAACTCCAGTGTATACTTGGCCTTGTGTTTTAGGTTGTCCTGCTGAAAGGTGAATTTGTCTCCCAGTGTCTGTTGGAAAGCGGACTGAACCAGGTTTTACTCTAGGATTTTGCCTGTGCTTAGCTCTATTCCGTTAATTTTTATCCAAAAAATAAAGTCATTTTCTTTTCAACTGTGTCATTTAGCTTATTATTGTGGAGTAACTACAATGTTGTTGAGCCAGCCTCAGTTTTCACCTATCACAGCCATTACACGCTAACTGTTTTAAAGTCACCATTGGCCTCATGGTGAAATCCCTGAGCGGTTTCCTTCCTCTCCGGTAACTGAGTTAGGAAGGACGCCTGTATCTTTGTAGTGACTGGGTGTATTGATACGCCATCCAAAGTGTAATAACTTCACCATGCTCAAAGGGAAATTCAATGTCTGCTTTTTTTTTTACCCATCTACTAATAGGTGCCATTCTTTGCGAGGCATTGGAAAACCTCCCTTGTCTTTGTGGTTGAATCTGTGTTTGAAATTCACTGCTCGCCTAAGGGACCTTACTGGTAATTGTATGTGTGGGGTACAGAGATGAGGTAGTCATTCAAAAATCATGTTAAACACTTTGCACACAGAGTGAGTCCATGCAACCTATTAAGCACAGTTTTACTCCTGAACTTATTTAGGCTTGCCATAACAAAGGGGTTGAATACTTATTTTTAATTAATTTGTAATAATGGATAAAACCTAATTCTACTTTGACATTATGTGGTATTGTGTGTAGGCCAGTGACATCTACATTTTCTCCATTTTAAATTCAGGCTGTAACAAGAAAATGTGGAAAATGTGTGTGAATACTTTGTGAAGGCACTTTATAAGGGTCAGGGTTATAAATCGTTGAGATACAGTTGACCCACCGCATTTCTTCCCCCCTTGAATCTAGGAAAGAACTGCAGGGCACTCAACCAATCAACTTTAGTTGAGGTGCAACCCAAAAAATGTATCCTCATTGAAAATCTTGTCAGAACCAGTACACTAACCTGTGACTTCTTGTTGGGCGTGTAGGCCTTGGAGTTGCTGAAAATGAGGCGGACATCTTTGGCAAACTCCATGGGGTTCTCGTAGTTCCCGACGATCAGTGTCTCTGTTACAGTCCCCAGGTCCATGGGAGTGTCTATGATGTCTCGATAGTCCTGGGAGAGGAGGGAGAGAGTGCAGTGTTTAGGACATCTGAAACCACAAAGTAACTGTCCAGTGTTTCCAGATTTCTATGAAATATGACCTATAATCAATGTTCCCTCAAGTTATTTTCAGCTAGCTGTTCTATCATTCAGCCTACAGTAGCAGCCAATGTGTGGTGTTCAATATAGGCCTACATTCCATGAGACTTTTGAAAAGAAATATGCAGGGCTTGACATTAACCTGTTTATCCACTTATCCTTCAGACAAGGTGACTGAAAATGTTGTGTTGTTTGATGCAAGACACTACTTTACAAAATAAAATGCATTACTATTCCCATACCATTATTACAGCGAAAAAGACAAGTTATGTTATCCTCTGCCTATTGGCTACTTAACTTATTCAAGCCGATCTCAAAATACAACACTGCCCCTTTAAGACAAGAAAAAGCTCTTTACCCAACTCGCTTTTCAAAGGTCTAGAAATGTACACATTTTGTGCTCTTGTAGGAAGCAATCACTCCCCCATTGCTGACTACAAATGATCTATAACTGGGCTAATAACGCACTAACTAGCAAAGGATATGAACAAATGTGCACACATGGCTACATGCAACCCTCACTTTGATCTCAAAACAAGCCATATCCATATATGGCAATGGTCTATTTGCATATAGCTAGAGGACTCCTGATATCTCCAGGAGTGATTAGTATAATAGTTATCCTAGGCAATCAGCAATTAGTACAGGGAGGTGTGCCCTCCACCTCTGCTAGGAAATTAGCGGTAGTTCTTCAGTCTCCCCTGGTTTCTCAGTGGCAGCTGTAAGTGGCAGTCGTGTCAGTGGCGGTTTTGTTGCAAAACTAAGACCGTCGCCGAAACAAAGAAGGTGCTGTAGAGTTGTTCTGCTAAGTTATTCGAGGAAGGAAAGAGGAAGGCTCCACACCACACTCGAGTATCTTACCTAGTTATTTTCAGATTCTCATTTTGCTCTTTTGTAGCTTTGTCAACTATGTGTGTGTTTTCTATACCTGTTTGTTCCTCTCACTGTGGGCTTTACAGACGCTCTCCACCCCTTGGCTGCAACCCTTCTAATTTAGTGTACCCTGCGTGCACAACCCATGTGGAATTCCGGGTCTCTGGCAGCTTTTGGAACTGCAGATCTGCGGTCAAGAACGCAGAGCTCATCTCAGCCTATGCTGCCTTTCAATCCCTTGACTTTTTGGCCCTGACGTTGACATGGACCACCCCAGAGAACACTAATACTCCAGCTGCTCTTTCTTCATCTGACTATGTTTTCTCTCATAGTCCGAGAGCATCTGGTCGTCACGGTGGTGGCACAGGTCTACTCATTTCTCATAAGTGGAGATTTTCTCTTTTCTCACCTGTCCATCTCCTCATTTGAATTCTGTGCCGTCACTGTCACTTGTCCACTCGAGCTTAACATTGTCATCTATCGCCCACCAGGTGCCCTTGGAGAGTTCCTCAATGAGCTTGACACCTTGCTAAGCTCATTTCCAGACTCACCGCTCTTTGTACTTGGCGACTTCAACCTCCTGACGTCTGCCTTTGATTCATTTCTTTCCAACTCTCTCTTTCCCCTCCTTGGCTCTTTTGACCTCAACCTTTCCCAATCCCCTCCAACTCACAAGGCAGGCAATACGCTTGACCTCATCTTTACTAGAGGCTGCTCTCCTACTAATATCACTGCAACCCCCCTCCAGGTCTCTGATCACTGCTTTGCTTCCTTTTCGGTCTCCCTCCTCCAACACTACCCATTCAGCCTCTACCCAGATGGTTATGTGCCGTCGCAATCTTAGCTCTCTCTCACTACTCTCTCCTATATCCTATCATCTCTCCCTTCTGCTAAATCCTTCTCACTCCTAAGTCTGCTTCTTCAACCCTACTCTCCTCCCTTTCCCCATCCTATGACTCGCACTGTCCCCTTTCCTCCCAGCTGGCTCGGCCCTCCCGCTCTGTGGCTGAGTGACTCATTGCGAGCTTTCAGAACAGGGCTGTTTGCAGCTGAGCAAAAATGAGGGAAAACTAAACTTCCGGAGGACCTATCATCCTTTCACTCCCTCCGCTCTACCTTCTATTCCTCTGTATCTGCTGCTAAAGCCAGTTTCTACCACTCTAAATTTCAAGCTTCTGCCTCTAACCCTTGGAAACTTTTTCCCCACCTTCTCCTCCCTCCTTAATCCCCCTCTCCCTGCAGATGAAAAAAAGGTTGCCGACATCCGCTACTCATTCACTCAGCCTATTGAGTCCACTAGTCTCGCTCACACAGAGCTACCCTACGCCTTGACCTCTTTCTCCCCTCGCTCTTCAGATGACATCCTGCGACTAGTGAGGTCTGGCCGTCCAACAACCTGCCCGCTCGACCCCATCCCCTCCTCCAGACCATCTCTGGAGACCTTCTCCCATTCCTCACTTCCCTCAACAACTCATCCCTGACCACTGGCTGCGTCCCCTCTGACTTTAAAATGGCCAGAGCAGCTTCCCTCCTCAAGATACCAACACTCAACTCATCTGAGGTGAAAAACTATAGACCTGTATCCCTTTATTTTCTTTCCAAAACACTTGAGCGTACTGTCTCTGATCAACTTTCTCATTATCTCTCTCAGAACTATCTTCTTGACCCTAACCAGTCAGGCTTCAAGACGGATCACTCAACTGAGACTGCTCTTCTCTGTGTCATGGAGGCTCTCCGCACTGCCAAAGCTGACTCTCTCTCCTCATCCTCCTAGATGCCTTCGACACCGGGAACCATCAGATCCTCCTCTCCACCCTCTCAGGGCTCGGCGTCTCAGGCTCTGCACACTCTTGGCTTGCAGTAATCCAGATTGGGTCTGGACTACTGCAACTCGCTGTTGGATGGGCTCCCCGCTTGTGCCATCAAACCCCTAAAACGTATCCAGAATGCTGCAGCCCACCTGGTTTTCAACCTTCCCAAGTTCTCTCATGTCACCCTGCTCCTCTGCACACTCCACTGGCTTCCCGTCGAAGCTCGCATCCACTACAAGACCATGGTGCTTACAACAATATGCCATTTAGCAGACGCTTTTATCCAAAGCGACTTACAGTCATGCGTGCATAAATTTTTGTGTATGGGTGGTCCCGGGGATCGAACCCATACACAATAGCACGGCGCTTGTCCCTGGCGTTACAAGCGCCGTGCTATACCAGCTGAGCTACAGAGGACCACGGAATACCTACGGAATAGCAAGAGGAACTGCCCCTCCCTACCTTCAGGCTATGCTCAAACCCTACACCCCAACCCGAGCACTGTTCTGCCACCTCTGGTCTCTTGGCCCTCCCAACCCTACGGGAGGGCAGCTCCCGCTCAGCCCAGTCCAAGCCATTCTCTGTCCTGGCACCCCAATTGTGGAACCAGCTTCCCCCTAAAGCTAGGACAGCAGAGTCCCTGCATATCTTCAGAAAACATCTGAAACCCTACCTCTTCAAATAGTAGCTTCAATAATCCTCCTCCTTTAAAAATAAATAAAAAATAACTTAACCAGCACTTGCACAGCTCTGGCTCTACTGATAGCTACGTTATTGAGGAAAAATGTACTTTCTATGCCTGTGATATGTGGTTGTCCCACCTAGCTATCTTAAGATGAATGCACTAACTATAAGTCGCTCTGGATAAGAGTGTCTGCTAAATTACTAAAATGTAAAAATAGGCCTACTGCAGCTCTGATTGGTTATGGTGCACCGGTCTGTGTAGAGTACAGGCTAAGTCATGCGTGTCAATGCAATAGAATCCTACTCCGATGCGTTCTGCCTACTACAAAATATCTTCTATAGTTTGTTTTGTTTCGGTATGTTGCATTGAAAGTGGCTAATATTGCATTGATTCGATCACAATTCCCACAGTAAAGGGAAATGTTGATAGTGTTAACTAAAGGGAAAAACTCTAGAAAGTTGAGTGAAGTTCAATCTCGTGCTTCTCTGCGGGGGCTGATATTTCTTCTGCGTGGCAGTCCCAGGGGAGCTGCGCGCCGGCACACGTGCAGCTAATAGAGAATATTGCCTAGAATTAATTACAATAAGAGTTTAAAAGTTTTGCTTCCAAAAATTTTAATTAAGTATGATAGAAATCCGCTTTTCTGTGTTGGAATGGTGTGGGCGCACTCCAACAACAGAATGGTGTGGGCGTCTACCGGTTATTCATGTGAGTAGACCGCTGATTGGCCAGTTCAGCCAATGAGCCAACATGACATGTTCTATGAGGAAATAGCAAGCATTTTTTTTGAAACTGTCTGTTTGAGATATAAGTTGTAGGTGGGGTTTTTTAAGTGTTTTTTCTCAAATTTTTGCTTTGGCCACATACGAGTATAGGACGAGTCAACAACATTATTTGGGTATCAGTTAACAGGATATGCACTTTTAAAAGTGACATTTTCACTGGACAGTTACTTTAACTCAGAATTGAGGACAGGTAGTTTGTAATATTTCTGAACCACTACAGTCAGACTGATGAGACTATCAGCTTCTCTGATGGGAATGAAACATAGTGGGCTGGTTTCCCAGACACAGATGAAGCCTATTCCTGGAATAAAAAGTATCTTCAGAGGAGAAGCGCCATTGCTTATTAGTCTAGGAGCAGGTTTTGAAAATGTATGCACTCACTAACTAAATCGCTCTGGATTAGAGCGTCTGCTAAATGACTAAAATGTTTTAAAAAATATTTTGTTCCGCGAAAACGGGCATTAAAAGGAAACTCCACCCAAAAACTATTTTGGTATTTGTTTCATTAGTCCATTGTCGATATAGTCCCAAAATATTATGCATGTCAGCAATGAAGTTTTCAAGCCTGGAATAAAAAGTATCTTCAGAGGAGAAGCGCCATTGCTTTTAAAAAATCTGTGTATAGCTGTATTTTGAAAACTTGCATCATATGACGTAAAATGCATCACACCGGCTGTATTTCTGTATTTTGAAAGTTATACATCTTGAAAACGTGACTGCTGACATGCAAAATATTTTTGAGACTATCAACAATGGACTAATGAAACAAATATCAAAATATTAGTTTTGGGGTGGAATTTTCCTTTAATGTTGGAATCCGCATTAGAGGAAATAGCGCCACTGTTCATCCCCAGCACATGTTATTATATATATATATATATATATATATATATATATATATATATATATATATATATATATATATTTTAGGGGGTAGATCAGCTTTAATCTTGCAGATAGAATTTAACTTCCATCAATGTAATTGTCTGCATCACTTCCAATCCCCCATATATTTTTTCCTCCGCAAAAAAACAAACAAAACTATAACATATATATAAACTCAGCAAAACAAGAAACGTCCACTCACTGTCAACTGCGTTTATTTTCAGCAAACTTAACATGTGTAAATATTTGTATGAACATAACAAGATTCAACAACAGACATAAACTGAACAAGTTCAACAGACATGTGACTAACAGAAATTGAATAATGTATCCCTGAACAAAGGGGGGGGTCAAAATCAAAAGTAACAGTGTGGCCACCAGCTGCATTAAGTACTGCAGTGCATCTCCTCCTCATGGACTGCACCAGATTTGCCAGTTCTTGCTGCGAGATGTTACCCCACTCTTCCACCAAGGCACCTGCAAGTTCCCTGACATTTCTGGGGGAGGGAATGGCCCTAGCCCTCACCCTCCGATCCAACAGGTCCCAGACGTGCTCAATGGGATTGAGATCCGGGCTCTTCGCTGGCCATGGCAGAACACTGACATTCCTGTCTTGCAGGAAATCACGCACAGAACGAGCAGTATGGCTGGTGGCATTGTCATGCTGGCGGGTCATGTCAGGATGAGCCTGTAGGAAGGGTACCACGAGGGAGGAGGATGTCTTCCCTGCAACGCACAGCGTTGAGATTGCCTGCAATGACAACAAGCTCAGTCCGATGATGCTGTGACTCACCACCCCAGACCATGACAGACCCTCCACCTCCAAATCGATCCCTCTCCAGAGTAAAGGCCTCGGTGTAACGCTCATTGTAGGTTGGGAGCTTTTGTGAAGGAGCACAGTTTATGGCATATAGAAGCAAACCGGATGGACATCATGAAAATGATCGGAGAGGTTGAGAGTAGAAGTAGTTCAGGAGAAAGAACAAACAAAATGTAATTACTGTAAAATTGACTGTGTCCATAAAATGTAGATAGTGGGTATGGGCTGGAAGTAGAGGCCTAGGCGTTGTTGTTCACTAGTTTACTCCAAGTGGGGAAAGGGTGGCGGGGTTGGAAAGTAATAAAGGGGAATATTAATATTTTTTAAAAGGATATGTATGTATGTATGTATGTATGTATGTATGTATGTATATACAGTGGGGAAAAAAAGTATTTAGTCAGCCACCAATTGTGCAAGTTCTCCCACTTAAAAAGATGAGAGAGGCCTGTAATTTTCATCATAGGTACACGTCAACTATGACAGACAAAATGAGAAAAAAAATTCTCCAGAAAATCACATTGTAGGATTTTTAATGAATTTATTTGCAAATTATGGTGGAAAATAAGTATTTGGTCAATAACAAAAGTTTCTCAATACTTTGTTATATACCCTTTGTTGGCAATGACACAGGTCAAACGTTTTCTGTAAGTCTTCACAAGGTTTTCACACACTGTTGCTGGTATTTTGGCCCATTCCTCCATGCAGATCTCCTCTAGAGCAGTGATGTTTTGGGGCTGTCGCTGGGCAACACGGACTTTCAACTCCCTCCAAAGATTTTCTATGGGGTTGAGATCTGGAGACTGGCTAGGCCACTCCAGGACCTTGAAATGCTTCTTACGAAGCCACTCCTTCGTTGCCCGGGCGGTGTGTTTGGGATCATTGTCATGCTGAAAGACCCAGCCACGTTTCATCTTCAATGCCCTTGCTGATGGAAGGAGGTTTTCACTCAAAATCTCACGATACATGGCCCCATTCATTCTTTCCTTTACATGGATCAGTCGTCCTGGTCCCTTTGCAGAAAGACAGCCCCAAAGCATGATGTTTCCACCCCCATGCTTCACAGTAGGTATGGTGTTCTTTGGATGCAACTCAGAATTCTTTGTCCTCCAAACACGACGAGTTGAGTTTTTACCAAAAAGTTCTATTTTGGTTTCATCTGACCATATGACATTCTCCCAATCCTCTTCTGGATCATCCAAATGCACTCTAGCAAACTTCAGACGGGCCTGGACATGTACTGGCTTAAGCAGGGGGACACGTCTGGCACTGCAGGATTTGAGTCCCTGGCGGCGTAGTGTGTTACTGATGGTAGGCTTTGCTACTTTGGTCCCAGCTCTCTGCAGGTCATTCACTAGGTCCCCCCGTGTGGTTCTGGGATTTTTGCTCACCGTTCTTGTGATCATTTTGACCCCACGGGGTGAGATCTTGCGTGGAGCCCCAGATCGAGGGAGATTATCAGTGGTCTTGTATGTCTTCCATTTCCTAATAATTGCTCCCACAGTTGATTTCTTCAAACCAAGCTGCTTACCTATTGCAGATTCAGTCTTCCCAGCCTGGTGCAGGTCTACAATGTTGTTTCTGGTGTCCTTTGACAGCTCTTTGGTCTTGGCCATAGTGGAGTTTGGAGTGTGACTGTTTGAGGTTGTGGACAGGTGTCTTTTATACAGGTAAAGTTCAAACAGGTGCCATTAATACAGGTAACGAGTAGAGGACAGAGGAGCCTCTTAAAGAAGAAGTTACAGGTCTGTGAGAGCCAGAAATCCTGCTTGTTTGTAGGTGACCAAATACTTATTTTCCACCATAATTTGCAAATAAATTCATTAAAAATCCTACAATGTGATTTTCTGGATTTTTTTCTCAATTTGTCTGTCATAGTTGACGTGTACCTATGATGAAAATTGCAGGCCTCTCTCATCTTTTTAAGTGGGAGAACTTGCACAATTGGTGGCTGACTAAATACTTTTTTCCCCCCCACTGTGTGTATATATATATATATATATATATATATATATATATATATATATATATATATATATATATATATATAAAAACATGGGGGATTGGAAGTGATGCAGACAATTACATTGATGGAAGTTACAATCTATCTGCAATATTAAGCTGATCTACCCCAAAAAAATATAATCTAATTCCTTCGACGATCAACGCGAATCCGACCATCACCCCTGGTGAGACAAAACCGTGACTCGTCAGGGAAGAGCACTTTTTGCCAGTCCTGTCTGGTCCAGCGACGGTGGGTTTGTGCCCATAGGCGACGTTGTTGCCTGTGATGTCTGGTGAGGACCTGCCTTACAACAGGCCTACAAGCCCTCAGTCCAGCCTCTCTCAGCCTATTGCGGACAGTCTGAGCACTGATGGAGGGATTGTGCGTTCCTGGTGTAACTCGGGCAGTTGTTGTTGCCATCCTGTACCTGTCCCGCAGGTGTGATGTTCGGATGTACCGATCCTGTGCAGGTGTTGTTACACGTGGTCTGCCACTGCGAGGACGATCAGCTGTCCGTCCTGTCTCCCTGTAGCGCTGTCTTAGGCATCTCACAGTACAGACATGGCAATGTATTGCCCTGGCCACATCTGCAGTCCTGATGCCTCCTTGCAGCATGCCTAAGGCACGTCCACGCAGATGAGCAGGGACCCTGGGCATCTTTCTTTTGGTGTTTTTCAGAGTCAGTAGAAAGGCCTCTTTAGTGTCCTAAGTTTTCATAACTGTGACCTTAATTGCCTACCGTCTAAGCTGTTAGTGTCTTAACGACCGTTCCACAGGTGCATGTTCATTAATTGTTTATGTTTCATTGAACAAGCATGGGAAACAGTGTTTAAACCCTTTACAATGAAGAAGATATTTGGATTTTTACAAATTATCTTTGAAAGACAGGGTCCTGAAAAAGGTTTATGGTCCAATAACATATTTAAAATCATCCATCTACCTTGCGGATCTGTTTGGACAATTTGCACATTCGGATCAAAATTACTGTTAATTAATATCATCACCCCTTTTGAGTTTCTTTGCCCATGGGAGAAGTATATTTCGCCCCCCCCCCCCCCCAGTCCTTTTTCCACACAACTTCATCTAAAATAGTTGAATGAGTTTCCTGTAAACAATAGATGTGTTCTTCTCTTTGAGCCATGTAAATATTCTTCTTCTTTTCTTATCTGCTAAGCCATTACAATTATAACTGACTATACTTATTTAACCATAATGAGATACAAGTTTCAAATCTATTTATCATAATATATGTTTGTAAATGTACCATTAAAAAGTACCATAGTGATTAAGTGTCCATATAGCTGTACCATGATATTTGCATTGCTACTAAGTAACCCTGTAATCGTTCTCCACTATTCCCCCCGCTAAAGCCCCTCCCAAGTTGGGTTGTCATCCCAGTGATCGGCAGACCACCCTCGTCCCCCCGGATCCCTAGGCCCCCCGAGAGGCCAGGACCCATCCTTCGAAAACAGCACACAGTGCCACCCACAAAACAGAAGCAGGTCAACCACCAAAAGCACTTCCAATGCTCTCACCTCAATATAGCTATTAAAAAATATATATCTATTCAAATATCTTGCATATCTTAATTTCCATCATTATCAATTAATATGCGTAATAATGTTGGCAGTTCATGCAAAGGATTGTTACCTATAACCCGGATTGCCATTGCATGACATTTCTGTCAAGCAATTATTATTTTAGCAAACAATTATTGTGGTTCATCCTACAGTGAGGGGAAAAAAAGTATTTGATCCCCTGCTGATTTTGTACGTTTGCCCACTGACAAAAGACATGATCAGTCTATAATTTTAATGGTAGGTTTATTTAAACAATGAGAGACAGAATAACAAAAAAATCCAGAAAAACGCATGTCAAAAATGTTAGAAATTGATTTGCATTTTAATGAGGGAAATAAGTATTTGACCCCTCTGCAAAACATGACTTAGTACTTGGTGGCAAAACCCTTGTTGGCAATCACAGAGGTCAGACGTTTCTTGTAGTTGGCCACCAGGTTTGCACACATCTCAGGAGGGATTTTGTCCCACTCCTCTTTGCAGATCTTCTCCAAGTCATTAAGGTTTCAAGGCTGACGTTTGGCAACTCGAACCTTCAGCTCCCTCCACAGATTTTCTATGGGATTAAGGTCTGGAGACTGGCTAGGCCACTCCAGGACCTTAATGTGCTTCTTCTTGAGCCACTCCTTTGTTGCCTTGGCCGTGTGTTTTGGGTCATTGTCATGCTGGAATACCCATCCACGACCCATTTTCAATGCCCTGGCTGAGGGAAGGAGGTTCTCACCCAAGATTTGACGGTACATGGCCCCGTCCATCGTCCCTTTGATGCGGTGAAGTTGTCCTGTCCCCTTGACATGCATTTTTCTGGATTTTTTTGTTGTTATTATGTCTCTCACTGTTCAAATAAACCTACCATTAAAATTATAGACTGATCATTTCTTTGTCAGTGGGCAAACGTACAAAATCAGCAGGGGATCAAATACTTTTTCCCCCTCACTGTATATTCTCCCTAACATCCTTACCCCCTTGCAACAGATGTGGGATACATACACACTCTTACACACTCAACCTCTTTCCTCCACAATCAACCATAATCTCAGATGCTCAACGGTTGTTACATCCCAGAGCCCAACTCAAGAAAGGACCGGATTTACGAATGCATTTACAGCTACAGCTGTTTGAGAAAGCATGCAAGATTTAGCGAAATTTTTAAAAAAAAAAAGAGATTTGATTAACCTATGTCAAGTCCTAGGTGATGGTTATTGTTTTTGTTTATGAAATGGTGAAGCCTCCAGCGTCGTGCAAAAAAAGTGTAATACTCTGATGTTCTATCGCACGTACAATGATGTGCAATGATTTCAGAGGGGGAAAAAAACATTGTTCATTGTTTGAAGTAATATCTTTGTTGTAATGTCACAAACCTGTCAGTTTCACCATTACTGATTCCATCTTTAACATGTCACTGTGGAGGAACATGTCAGATTGTAAAGCACTCAGATCCTAAGGCACATCCTGTAGCAGGCTGTTATCCTCTCTGTGTGTGAGGGGTTATATAATTGGTAGGGATTATGATAACAAGGAGAGGAGGAGAGCCTTACTGGGTAGGTGAAGAGGTCCACAGGCTGTCTGAAGGGTTCAGAGTCAGGGCCGTCCATCATACGCCGCAGCAGCTCCCGACACTGGCCCCGCCACGCACGCACGTCTAACACCACCCCACGCTTCTTAGGACTGGGATTGGCCCGCTGATAGTGGGAGAGCGTGAAGGTGTCCAGTTAGGTTGATACAGAAAAACACAGGAAAAGCGAGATCATGGGGAACAGGAAATACAGTCATAGCAACAGCAATGGATATTCCATGTTTGAGATGCATCCCTCCCTTACCCGTTGTCCGGTGGAGGTCCCTGGAGTGTCAGAGTCCATGTTCACCTCAGCAGTCTGCACACCAACACACAGACACATGTACTCTTAGTACTGAGTAATACACCACCAAGACAATTCAAACATCACGATGAACTCCTTTGAGGTGTACACACACACACACATCTTCATGTCTCACCTCATCCTCTCCACTGCTCATCTCTGTCTTCACCTTGTGGTACAGATCTAAGATGTCTGTGCAGCTCTGGTCCCTGACAAAACCACACAACAACAAAACAGCTGGTCATATTCACAGTCAAAACTAAGTTCTTAATGAGTCAACGTTTCACACAGGGGAAATCTACACCATTCATTAAGCGCGATTTCAGGGGCACCTTACCCGATGTAGCAGAGGAGCACGTCAGTCATCACCTTAGCTGCTGCCACGATGGGGCTCTGGGGCTCGTTGAAAGTGCGGGCGTTGTGCTCGATGTAGCGCACCTCCCACATCAGAGCCGAGATCCGCCTAGGAGAGATGAACATCCCGAGGGGATAAGCTGAGTGAAAGTCATTGATCTCCTCAAACTGGCACATACCAAAGTCCAATTACAGCTGAGATACAATGGGGCTGACTGGAAGATTAGCAACAATTACAATTGGTTTGAAGGATTATTCCAGTGTGAGTGGTTGATCTGAGAGGGTGCTGTAATACTGCATGGTTTCAGGGTGCAGGCTGAGAGGCCAGTACTGACCTGTAGAAGCGGTTCTCCAGCCGTCTGCGGATGGTGCTGAGGTCAGTGGGGTAGGCCACCACAGTGCAGTAGAGAGGGTAGTCCCGCAGGTCCACTGGTGACGCAAACGCCTTGGCCAGGTCTACACAAACACAACACACTGATTAATCAATACCAAGCCATATCCAAGACCACTTCCAGTTACAATCAACTGCGAATTAAAATCAGGGTCACCCTTGGCTCAATTCATCCAATATGACAAGCAGGACTTCCTGTGTGGTAGCTGTGACCTACCCAGTGTGAGCAGCTCGTCGATGCCAAAGATGATCCTCTGGCAGTCCTCGTCCCGTGTGTGAGCCCCCCACTCCCCCTCCTGGGGGCTGTAGAGGCGAGCCTTCACCTCGTCCTCCGTCACTGCCACCCCGTCACCAACCTCCTCTGGCAACTCCGCTGGGGGAAGGAACACAATATGCCAGTCAGAGAGACCACATTGCGTCATTGGCTGGCTGCTCAGTTTCACTATCAATAACCTGATCTTACGTATCATACTAAATACAGAGACTGCATGTGTTATGTTAAGTGATTTTGAGTGTGCTAGCTAGGGGGATATTTCAATGTGTAAACTCTGGCTGCAAACTCAAATTGCATTATTACAGTAGATGATCTGAGATGGGTGAGGAGCCACTGATAGAAGCAGTGATACTAACCTTCATCAGGAATGGGCTCCATGTCCCAAGGGCTCATTTTCTCACTCTCACTATTATCCCACCTAGTCAAGAGAAATCACAACTTAACATTCAGTATCTTAAGACATATTTTCCACCTACTGGGTGTAAGCTATAGTATGAGCTATTGAGGCACACACTGCTGTACCACTTCAGACTGTGTAAGCTGAGGTCTAGAGTAGCAGGGTACACATTGACTCACTTGACAGTGTAGCACTGGAACAGACTGTCTGGGTACTCTGGCTGGAGTGGCTGTTGGTCCTCCACTGAGCCAAACCACCAGGCGTCATCGATGATGCTCCGGAAGCGCATACCTAGCAGGAACAAATCATGCTTGTTTCAGTACATGCTGGTCCGTGAATCACCAAACTTACAGAACACAGATTTATGGGAGCATGAACTGTAACGCTACATCCCACAGAACACACAAACATGTGGGAGAGTGCACCACATTGCTCACATGGCACTCAAACAAAAAGGAGTGTAGGAGATAAACATGTAGGTGAGTGAACTGGGCACATCCTCTAACAGGCGTATGTTCTGCATGCTGGAGAGAGGCTAGCAGAGTGAAGCAACACTAACCTGTCTGCCAGTTGTGCTCTTTAGCTTCGTCATAGAACTGCTGGAGCACCAGGAAATCAATGACATCCGGCATGTCATGGTACCTGGGAGAACAAGGACATGTCATTCATTGCCATATTCTTTTCACACAAGAGAATAAAGATGGATGACTCACTTTAGGGAGAATGACTCATTTGTCATTTTGCCTGAGATGGGGTGCAGGAAGGCCAGTTTTAGGCAACAAAGGGTGGGGGGCCCACCTCATACTTGATGCCAACCACCTTCACAGACTCCTGGTCCTGAACGATGAAAAAACAGACAAAGACTTTAAAATAAGAGAGAGGGGGGTGACAAGAGGAATAAAACACTAGGCCACATTAAGGATATGGGATCCATGAAGGACATACAAAATACATAAAATAACATATAGTAGACAAAGGAAGCAGTGTGAGTAAGTGTTGAGGGTTGGGCTTACCCTGAGGTTGAGCTTGTTCCAGGACTGTTTCTGAGGGTTGATGCTATAGGCCTTGGCCCTGCGCACTGCCCTGACATAGGCCTGGTGGCCCTGCCTGAAGTACATCAGCTGGTGAGCAATAGGAAGAGGAGGGTCATCACACAGGCCACAGTGTCTATCAACTATGACACAAACCTTGCACTATCAATATTAAACGAGGTACAGATTAAGCTCAAATGTCAAAATGTGAATATATTTTCTGGGGTACTCTGCTGGACCTCCTATGGCCCATCAGGCAGTAAGGTTCCTTACCTCATCACCCATCTGTGGCACAAAAGGAGAGCGGCGGGGGATGGTCTCCATGATCCAGGACGGGGGAAGCCATTCCTCCGCGTCACGGCCAGCCAGAGACAGAGACGAACTGGGTTTCTGAGCACAGATACGGGGTTAAACGGTCCGCATTATCACACATGCTAAGGCAATGGTACTTGCCCTCAGTCATTGGACCTCAGCACATAAACTAGCTAGAAGCACCATACTCTGTATAGCCAGTAACTGAGATACATCATTTCCAAGCAGCACGTTGGCTGCACCATTCCCTGCCCAATGCCCATGTCTCTACTGTACGTTCTGTGAGCTCACCTTCTGTTTGGTCTGCTTGGGCTTCTTTTTCTTCTCCTCTGCCTGCTTCCTCCTGGCCTCCTCTCCCTGGCCCTGGCCCTCCGCCTCCCCTTCCTCAGAGCTGCTGGAGCCACCGGGTGGCCGCACCTGCCTTCTGCTGGTCCGCTTGGGGGGTTGGAGGTTGATCCCTGCATCAGCTGTCCAATCAGAGTAATCACTGGAGGAGACACTGAGGGGGAGAAAAGTGATAAGGAAATGTGTATTTTGTTTTTGTTGGTTACATCGCAATTGTTTAGAAATTGTTCAAATTTGACCCTAATTAAAGATGTTTCATTTGAAAACCCATTCCATTGGGTTGTAGGTAGGGCTGTTGCGGTGACCGTACTACCGCCACACCGGCAGTCATGAGTCATGACCGCAGTAAAATTCTACATGACCGTTGAGTCACGGTAATCAACTCTTATGCACTCTGGACATACGTTAGTAGTACCCAACTCGATAACAATCATCAGGTCGCTAACGACCTGGTACTCAGGATTCTATTGTCCCTCTAACCACTGACATCCATGCAATAGAAAATCACATCAAACACATCATCAAAACAGTATGTGCTTTTAAAACACCTCACTGTGAATGATCAATTTGAAGAAAGAAGTTCAAACAACAGGTTGAAACTGAGTGGAAAACATGGTCGCTGTGGACGTTGTTTCAAAGCCTAACACAATGAAATGGGCAGGCTTTCTAAGGTAATGATTAATTCAGAACACACATATGCATATTAGAGATTATGCATATGCATAGTGCCCAAGCCTGAAAAAATTACTTAATTTAAATAATGATTGTGCAATTATACAATATATAGCTTATCGCATATCACATTGCAGAAAAACAAACAAATACATTTACATTTACATTTTAGTCATTTAGCAGACGCTCTTATCCAGAGCGACTTACAATACTGATTTAAGATATATTTGGTACAAAATGGGTCTAGCCTACATAAAATAAAAATCAGTTATAGTGAATTTGTATTTGACTTTGTATTGCCTAGTAATAACATTACTTTTAGCTACAGAATATCTTACCACCGTGCGTTTCCATCTCCTCCCCTCTCTCCTTCATTCATTTCTCCAGCACGCAGAGAGAGGGGCTGTCAATAGTTTAATGAAATTTGTTACGTTGTGATTTTTTTTTACTATCGATGTTCCGAACAGATTTCACTTGGTTTCCCAAATTAAGCACTAGGTAGCTGCAGGAAGAGTGTTGAAGAGCCCATGGCATAAAGTTTGGGTGGAATATCACCTGTCCCGCAGCAAAATAACAGGAGTAGCCTACCTGACATGAGTGAAAAATATACCGGAGGGAAAGTGGCCTCCATTCACTATTTGAGTGCATACGAATGGCATGTATTTTTGTCTTGCCCCTGTTCCTGCCCATTTGATGAATGGACCAATCTACATATTCTACATATGTACATATTAGTAAAGACAAGATTAAATTGAGAAAAGTCTGATAGGTGAAAATATGATCACTTAATGAGAGAACAGTGTATGCAGCCTGAAGCAAGGACTTTCTCAAATCATCAATAGTCTAGTCGCATCATGCATCCCATATATCTTTTGATTTCTAAGGCATTCTAAGGTTTCTATCATTTACAACTAAAGTTGCCAAATAACTAGAAATCGAGCATATAGGACCTGTTTCAAATCATCACTTTTACGCTCAACATAGCCTTCATATGCACACACTCGCTTTGGAATGGGAAAAATATCCTTTATTTTATTCAGCTAAGTTCAATTATATTCTTACTATAAAATCATATAATATAAAATAATGGCACGGGACTTATAAGCATATTTTGTCAGCTAAATGAACAAGCCTACAGCCTATGGCATGGAGCATAGCCAGATAACATACAGTAGGCCTACTCATATTCTGTTCTTCTGAAATACATTTTCTTCATATCATAATGTTTCTTTAGACCTACCTACAACAAATAATGGATTTATTGTGATGTGTATATTCAATTGATTTATTATACTTTTTTTAAATGTAGATGTTCCAAAGGCTCACATCAGCAGCTTGTATGCATGGAGGCCTGGAGATGCTAAACGCGTTTATGTTAATTAACAGACAATTACCGTGAGACCTGCAGCATGACAATAACCGGCTGACAGAATGCCATGACCGCCACTGCCCTAGCTGGAGGTAGAATATGTTTTAATTAGAGGGGAAGAAAACACAAAATAAATAACATCTCAGCCAGGTCGGATATAAAAGTTTATGTAAAATATCATACAGCTATTAGATCTAGCCTACTTCTTATCCATGTTCAACATGAACTAGTCACAAGCTGCTACTGTACTAGAATTGGGATAATTTGCTTTAATCTTTTGACCTGAGAACTACAACAAAAACAGTAGCTAATTGGAATGGAAGTTCTGATTAAAATAATTGTGTTGAATGTAGAGTAGAGGCATTCAGCCATGGAATTCTACACATTCTCGTTTGGTTAGCTAGCTAGCTAACGTTAGCATAACTGGCTAGTTTTGCTGTTATCTAAAGAAACGCCTGGGAAAGTGTTTATGGTTGAACTTTGACTGTTTAGGAGATGGTAGACATTTACCTGGAACTGCTGTCACTCTGCCACTGTGCTTCCCCATCAGAGGAAGCATCACTGGCTTCTGCCTGCTCCTCTGCCTGTAGACACATTGGAACATGATTAGACCTCCTCTAACATGACAACACCAAGGCCTCTGCTACTTCAAGAACAACAGACTACAACCACCCCCACCTCTCCATTGCTGTCTGAGTCCATCTGGCTGTCAGAGTTCCTCCCCCTATCCACAGGGCGGCGATCTCTTGCTGAGCGGGTCTGGTACGCTGGTGCAGGCCTGGTCTGCTTCTTCTTCCTCTGGGTCTGCCGCAGGGAGCGCTTGCATGGAGCCTGCTCCTCAGTCTACAGGGGGGAAGGGGTGAGAAGTCGTTAAATGATAGAAAAGAAAGTAAAGCTATTGGTATAAATCAACAAAGGGAAGGGGGACATTTGTTCTGAAAGAGATAGAGAGCTGTGGGACAGTAGTGTAGAGACTCACCTTAGGAGCACTGGGTACAGGTTTCCTCCTCCTCTCTGTGTTGTAGAGGGAACACTCCACCTCACCTTTGGCCCGCCTGGTCTCCTCCATCACCCTACACAACACAAACACACAGCTTCAGTCAGCCACTGGGTGATATCTACCAAGGCAATCTTACAAACAGTCCTAGGCACATCATTAAGAGGATGGAAATAATGGTTAGAACATAAGGTTCAAGGCCATCTCAGGTAGGCTCTCTGGTTAGTTAGCCAGTTAGTCAGTCTCACCGGAGGACCCCTTGCTGGACCTCGTTGACAACCACTCTCCTGCTCCAGGCCAGCAGGTCCCTCTCCGTGGCCATCTGACTGCGAGGGGCATTGTGGTGCATCTGACGCACACCCTCCACCTGACCACTCCTCCTCAGGCCCACATTAGGGGGTGATCCCACTACCTCGGCTCCCTCAACAGCTGCAAATGAGGGAAAACAGAGTATACATACAACTTTCATTTAGTTTAGTTTATTAATTCGACCATTTAAAAAAACAAGCACACATAAAACTTGAAAAAGCCATACATAAAAGCCATACAGCACATGAGTAAAATGATTGAGGATAACACACAATAAAGTCTGGGACTTATTTCCATTGTGGTCTTCTTGAAACAAGATGGCTAGACAAGATCGAACACGGTTGAAAACATCTGAAATCCAATAAGAAGATTCAAGGGGCATCCCTGTATGTACACTGAACACAAATATAAAATGCAACATGTAAAGCGCTGGTCCCATGTTTGAGGAGCTAAAATAAAAGATTGAAATGTTCCATATGCACAAAAAGCTTATCTCTCTCAAATTGTGTGCACAAACGTGTTTACATCCCTGTTAGTGAGTATTTCTCCTGACAGGTGTGGCATATCAAGAAGCTGATTTAAACAGCATGATCATTACACAGGTGCACCTTCTGCTGGGGACAGTAAAAGGCCACTAAAATGTGCAGTTTTGTCACACAACACAATGCCACAGATGCCTCAAGTTGAGGGAGCGTGCAAATGGCATGCTGACTCCAGGAATGTCCACCAGAACTGTTGCCAGAGAATTGAATGTTCATTTCTCTACCATAAGCCGCCTGTCATTTTAGAGAATTTGGCAATACATCCAACCGACCTCCATATCCGGCTTCTTCACCTGCAGGATCGTCTGAGACCAACCACCCGGACAGCTGATGAAACTAAGGAGTATTTCTGTCTGTAATAAAGCCCTTTTGTGGGGAAAAATTCATTCTGATTGGCAGGGCCTGGCTCCCCAGTGGATGGGCCTATGCCATCCCAGGCCCACCAATAGCTGCGCTCCTGCCCAGTCATGTGAAATCCATAGATTAGGGCCCAATGAATTTATTTCAATTGACTGATTTCCTTATATAAACTGTAACTCAGTAAAATCTTTGAAATTGTTGCATGTTGCGTTTATATTTTTGTTCAGTATAAATTCATTAGGCCCTAACCTATAGATTGTACATTACTGGAAATACAGATAGGCATAGGTTGGTCACAGATACCTTTACAAAAAACAGTAGGGGTGTGGATCAGATAACCAGTCCGTATCTGGTGTGACCACTATTTGCCTCATGCAGCGCGACACATCTCCTTCACATAGGCTGTTGATTGTGGCCTGTGGAATGTTGTCCCACTCCTCTTCAATGGCTGTGCGAAGTTGCTGGATATTGGCGGGAACTGGAACACGAGGTCGATAAAGAGCATCCCAAACATGCTCAATGGGTGACGTCTGGTGAGTATGCAGGCCATGGAAGAACTGGGACATTTCAGCTTCCAAAAATTGTTGTGTACAGATCCTTGCGACTGGGCCGTGCATTATCATGCTGAAACATGAGGTGATGGCGGCGAATTAATGGCACAACAATGGGCCTCAGGATCTCGTTGTCACGGTATCTCTCTGCACATTCAAATTGCCATCGATAAAATGCAATTGTGTTCGTTGTCCGTAGCTTATGCCTGCCCTTACCATAACCCCACCTCCACCATGGGGCACTCTGTTCACAACATTTACATAATCAAACAGCTGTCCGGGTGGCTGGTCTCAGACTATCCTGCATTTAAAGAAGCCGGATGTGGAGGTCCTGGGCTGGCGTGGTTACATGTGGTCTGCGGTTGTGAGGCCAGTTGGACGTACTGCCAAATTCTCTAAAACGACGATGGATGCGGCTTATGGTAGAGACATGAACATTACATTTTTTGGGAACAACTCTGGTGGGCATTCCTGCAGTCATCATGCCATTTGCACGTTCCCTCAAAACTTGAGACATCTGTGTTGCATTGTGTTGTGACAAACCTGCACATTTTAGAGTGGCCTTTTATTATCCCCAGCACAAGGTGCACCTGTGTAATGATCATTCTGTTTAATCAGCTTCTTGATATGCCACACCTGTCAGGTGGATAGATTATCTTGGCAAAGGAGAAATGCTCACTAACAGGGATGTAAACAAATTTGCGCACCAAATTTGAGAGAAATAAGCTTTTTGTGCGTATGGACAATTTCTGGGATATTTTATTTCAGCTCATGAAACATGGGACCAACACTTTACATGTTGCGTTTATATTTCTGTTCAGTATAAATATGGTTATATGAGACTGACACGTACCCCCCTCTCCTTCTGGCACTCCATTTTGGTCCTGCCTCTCATCCGGCTGGTTCTGCAACTGTCTGATCAGGACATCCAATGGGCTTTCTCCGTGACCCTCCTCCGCCGTTTGCTGGCCGATCACCTGCTCCACCACCTCACCATCACCTAAGCAACAGAGAAGTAGGTTAGAAATCCCAACTTTATTCACATTTTAATTCCAAAGCCAGGTAAATAATTATTGTTGAAACCACTAAGAAGCGTTGGTAAGGATGTTTACCGTTGGCCATGTAGCCAAGCTGGGGCACCAGATGCTCATCCTTGCAGCTCTCCCTGCCGGGCACCAGGCGCTGGTAGTGGGTGGGGTGGGGGTTCCCGTCCACATCCACCAGGAAGGGAGGGGGCATAAGGTGGGGCGCCTGCTGGGTCTGCTCATCCAGGACAAAGTTATTGGCGTCTCGGATCAGCGGCCGGAAGTCAGTGTGGAAGAACATTTGGTCAGGAATCTGGAGGAGGGAAATGGAGGAAGAAGAGATTTGTTATTCTGTGTAACATTTTCTCTTTACAAACATTACGATAACATGTAACTTACACATCTTTATCCAAACAAGCAACGTGTAGCGGTCTGAGACTTACCTTCTCATAGGGTCTGCTGCAGCCGAAGCCAAAGATGAGCAGGTGGCCATGGGAGTCAGTGCAGGCAAAATGCTGTCCATCAGCTGAGAACTTACAGTCAAACACAGCTCCGTGGCCTTGGCCCTCAATCTGAGACAGAAAGGCATGTATGAATGTCTGCCAGGGTGAAACAAGTATGCCACCAACACAGTCACCATGTAATCCATATCCAGTAGTCAGTCTCTCACCATGTTGAAGAAGTTGCGGATCTTGGATCCCTTGGAGAGGTCCCACATGTAGATGTTGCCATCGTGGCCGGCAGAGAGCATGATGCGGTGGTCAAAGGGGTGGGCCTCCAGGACAAACACCTCATCATCATGACCCTGGAGGAGGAACAACACATTCAGTCCTAACAGGTCTTACTCACTGAAGAGACCAGAAACACTACAAAGATATACAGGTAACTGCCAAAACAAAAGAAACACTTGAGTAAATGAGGGATACGAAGTATATTGAAAGCAGGTGCTTCCTCACGTGTGGTTCCTGAGTTAATTAAGCAATGAACATCCAATCATGCTTATGGTCATGTGTAAAAATTCCCAGTTGCCCATTATTTTGGCTACCATGGCTAGAAGAGATCTCAGTGACTGAAAGAGATTCTGGAGCGGCGCCTGAGACAGCGTTTTCCACCACCATCAACAAAACATCAAATAATGGAATTTCTCGTGGAAGAAGGGTGTCACATCCCTCCAATAGAGTTCCAGATACTTGTAGAATCTATGCCCAGGCGCATTGAAGGTGTTCTGGCAGCTCATGGTGGCCCAATGCCCTATTAAGACACTATGTTGGTGTTTCCTATATTTTGGCAGTTACCTGTATCTAGTGTTTGAATTATATTTATTGTATGTATATGAACACAAGACAGCTTTATGCCTTTCTACAGAGCCAAAGGTCTCTAGCCGTTTGTGGAGAAGACCAACAGGAGATAGACATCTACTCACAGACAGCACATGCAGCAGCTGACCCGTGGTGGAGCTCCACACTTTGAGCAGGTAGTTAGAGACCGCTGTGACGACAGTGCGGTCACCACGGTCCCAGGCCACCATTGTCGGCACCAGCTTGGTCTTGTCCTCACCATTCACAACAGCAGTCCTGTGACAATTTCATACGTTAAATACATGCTAACCACTTACTAATGAGACATAAACCCATTTGCTGCTGCACATACGGCAATGCTGCTGCACAGACGTCAATTCTGGACACCATTGCAGCTGGACAGCATTGTCTTACCCTGGCAGTCTAGTGGCTATGTCCAGAGTAATGCTCTTCCACTCCTGCTGCTGGTAATGCCATATCCTGGCTGTGCCGTCACGACTACCACTCACAAACCTTAGGCTGGGAACAGACACAGCAGTTAGAGGCCACACAGCAACAAATCAAAATAGTTTTATCTAAGTAAAGAGACAATTGCACACACTAACCTGTAACTGTTGTTACAAAACTGGACCACCACAACTTTGTCCTGGAAGAAGAGAGGTAGGAGTTAACAAAAGGAGCAGTGAGAAACAAACTATGAACAGTGCAAGTGCTCTGTGATCGATTCTTCCGTCTCTCTCTCTCGCGCCCTCTCTTGCTCTTTTCTCCTCTTATCTCGCTCGCGCTCCATCTCTGTTCTTCTCTGCTCTGTGTCTTACCATGTGAGCATCCAACTCAGAGAGCTTCATGGGTGTTTCAGAGCCGAGGTAATACACCCTGATTACATGATCCGTGCTGCCTGTAGCCAGGAACATCCCACCTGATTCAAAGAGCAACGGAACAACAGCTAAGTTCATTAAACTAACAAACAGATCTAGTTATGTGGCTTTGTGAAAACTTGCCTTGTTCAAATAGTCAAATAGTAAATAATCCCATAATTCTGTGAAAAGGTGAAGTGGAATAAATGTAATGTAAAGCATGTTGTTTATTAGTGGCCACCTACCACAGCTGAAGGAGGAAGTGGAGATCTGGACCCCAGGCCTTGACCGCTCAATGAACTTGACTGGCCGGTCACTGAGGAGGAATCAGAATGCAACACAGGTTAGGTTCACCTAGACCACAAAACAACTGATCTGTTGAAAATAAAGAAACCATCGCATTCTCATCCCACCGTTTTGCCTCAGACAAACTCTGCTGTCCAACACTTACACAAACTTCATGCTGAGCGAGTGCCATTGCCAGAAACACACCATGCCGTCTGCTCCGGTGGAGGCCAGGTACCGCATTGGTCCTTTAACCGCTGGACAAAACTGAGGAGGACAGGGGGTGTCACACACACTAACATTTCTCAAGCAGAAAGTGTCACAAAATGGCACTCAAAAACCAACAGGTTTCATGCAAGATATTTTACATGGCAGAAGGTAAATGTAATGAATATTGAAGGGTATAACTAGGTTCTTATTGCTTAGTCCTGAGGGTTGTTCTGACCTGTATGGAGGTGATTGAAGCTGCATGGCCCTGCAGCACAGTGATGGGGGCGCAGGTGCGCAGGCACCACACTCTGATGATCTTGTCACAGCTGGCCGAGGCGATTAGCGTGTTGTCGTAGTTCACCGCCATGTCGGAGATCTCGGCCGCGTGGCCACGCAGGGTGGACAGCAGCCGGCCATCATCTGTGGACCAGATCTTTACCAGACAGTCATCAGAACCCTGGAAGGAGAGGGGTCACGATGAGACACCAGCTGCATTGAGACTGACACACTTCAGAGGGAACTGACAACAACTGTCTTTGGTATTCCTTCTCTCCTCTTTTGTCAGACTCTTACCGTAAATATCCGTCTGCCACTGCGGTCGAAGGCCACACAGTACACAGAGGACAGGTGGCCCAGGATGCGCCTGTGCATCTTCACATGCTGGTAGGTGTAGGATGGCAGAGCATGGCCGAAGCGGGCAGTGCCAGTAGTCTGGCGAGCACCCATGATGGACACTAGACGGCGAGAGTACAGGTCAGTTGAGCAGAGGTAAAATAATTTACACACACTTAAATATGTATTGTTTTGTAGTGTTACCAATATTTTACGGGTTTCAGGAATATGTTTATTAAAGGGATACTGCGAGATTCAATTAATTTACTTACCCAGAGTCAGATGAACTCGTGGACACTAATTTTATGTCTCTGCGTGCAGTATGAAGGAAGTTAGAACGTACCTTTGCTAGCGTACCTGTAGACTTCCAGTGATTGTAGCTAATGCTAGTTAGCATTGGCTCGCGAAACTACCTCTAACTTCCTTCATACTGCACGCAGAGACATAAAAATGGTATCCACGAGTTCATCTGACTCAGGCTTAATTGCCAGAATTTCACAATTTTCCTTTTAAAAGCGCATCTTACGAATGCTGGGGGGCTTCCCAAAGCTGACTGGTGGTTCTGGGGGGCGACCCCGGTGGAGCGCAGCAACAGCAGTTCCACTCCATTCTGTGTGGCAACAACCTGACAGACAGAAAAGAAGGCATGGTTCTAAAGCATTACAGACTGTATGACCTGGGAGTCTGACATTAATACTGCATCTGTGTAACCAAATACCTATGTAGGGATTATGACATCAGTTAGTCTTTGATGCCGAGAGAAAGAAAGAGAGAGAGAGAAACAGTGAAGAGACGAGGGCTCACTTTTAGCTGTGCGAAGCAAAGACTGCCTTCCCAAGCCCAGGAGGGTCTGGACCCCAGGAACACTAGGTGGGGCCTCCTTGTCTATGAGAGGACCTATCTGCTGGCATACTCTCAGCAGGTAGTCTGCAGGGATGTGCTGGTTCAAGATCACCTGTGGACACATCAGGGAAAACAGTCATCATATAGACCTGTGTGAGTGGAATCGGTAGTGAAACGTCATCAAAGCAACATCAATATACGGAATATGTGACCATATCCCTAGCCACTTAGATATCTTACATTTACAACCTACATGTCAATACAGTGAAGACTGTAGATGTCTGTAGACATCAGTTAGATGTTATGTTCTGTCCGTAAAACAGACACTGGGTAGGTCAGAAAGTGGAGTGTGAGCACAAAATATGCTACACCAATTTAAGGCCTCTTTACACCAGAGCTGGGGTCAATTCGAATGGAAGGCAGTCAATTCAGGAAGTAAACTTAAATAATTCAAAATGTGAAAAAACAGCATCCATTTTAAATTACTTCAATAAAACTGAGGAGTAGATGCTATTTATTTCAAAAGGTTTTCAATTTTGGAATTTTAAATAAAAATCAGTTCCTGAATTGACTGCCTTCAACTCGAATAGACCCCAGCCCTGCATTACACTTCACTACTTTGATGACAAATACTACTTCCAGGAAAGATACTTTTGTAGTGTAAAGAGACGGAGCTAGATTCAAATCTCTCTTTGAGAGATGTCTCCCACACTACCTCCGGACATCTACACCCCCCCACCGAGTTGTATAGTGTAAAGACAATGGCTCTCCCTCACCATGTCCCGTATCCTTATTTTGTTTGTCTATATACTGTGGTATTTACGGTATGCTAATAGGTGCACACACGAAGCAGAGGTGCATTTATACTCAACAAAAATATAAGTGTTGGTCCCATGTTTCATGAGCTGAAATAAAAGATCCCAGAAATGTTTCATTCGCACAAAAAGCTTATTTCTATAAATTGTTGTGCACATATTTGTTTACATCCCTGTTAGTGAGCATTTCTCCTTTGCCAAGATAATCCATCCACCTGACAGGTGTGACATATCAAGAAGCTGATTAAACAGCATGATCATTACACAAGTGCACCTTGTGCTCAGGACAATAAAAGGCCACTCTAAAATGTGCAGTTTTGTCACACAACACCACAGATGTCTCAAGCTTTGAGGGAGTGTGCAATTGGCATGCTGACTGCACAAATGTCCACCAGAGCTATTGCGGGATCGTCTGAGACCAGCCACCCAGACAGCTGATGAGACTAAGGAGTATTTATGTCTGTAATAAAGCCCTGTTGTGGGGAAAAACTCATTCTGATTGGCTGGGCCCTGGCTCCCCAATGGGTGGGCCAGGCTCCCAAGTGGGTAGGCCTATGCCCTCTCAGCCCCACCCATGGCTGCACCCATGCCCAGTCGTGAAATCCATAGATTAGGGCCTAATTTATTTATTTCAATTGACTGATTTCCTTCTATGAACTGTAACTCAGTAAAATCGTTGAAATTGTTGCGTTTATATTTTTGTTCAGTATAGTTCAATTCAACATTCGCTACGTTGCGTGTCAGTTTGTATTGAACAACATGTTTCCCCAAGACGGTGCGCACCATTCTTCAACAGCCTTTGAGGTACATTTGCTTCCGTTTGGTGGGTGTGGCAAGGTGTGGCCTGATCAATATGGGTGTGACCATTTGAAATCGCAAAACACCATACAATCAATCTCCCTCTGGGCCACCATAACTACGCTGTTCTTCAACTGGTCGTTCAGTACAGTACCGTTTCCATTTAATTAAAACGCTGAACCTCGTTCTGAACGCACCCCAGGAATGTGGCTTTGGTCACACCACATCCAAGGCTAACATAAGGATAGTGTAAACAGAAAAGTTGCACATCTGATTTTGAAGAGAGATAGATTTGCTGAACAATTAATCAAAATGGCCACCCGGACTACTTACATTGACACCCCTCCCTTTGTTTTTACACTGCTGCTACTTGCTGTTTAGTATCTATGCATAGTGACTTTACCCCTACCTACATGTACAAATTACCTCGACTAACCTGTACCAAGGCACATTGACTCGGTACTGGTACCCCCTGTCTATAGCCTCGTTATTGTTATTTTATTGTGTTACTTTTTATTTTTAAAAATGTACTTTAGTTTATTTAGTAAATATTTATTGAACTGCATTGTTGGTTAAGGGCTTGTAAGTAAGCATTTCACGGTAAGGTCTACACCGGTTGTATTTGGCGCGTGTGACAAATACAATTTGATTTGATCTGGACTTCAAAAGTGCAGTAGTTCTCAGATTAGATTCAGGGTTCTCCCCAAAGAATGCAAAAAATCCTGGGGTGAAACATGAGATTAAATATGCCCTCTAAAAGGTCATACACTGTTAAACAGGTTGTTGCCTGTATGAATTTAGCTAGTACACACAGTCAGACAAAGTGAGTTATCTCGACAGCCAAGGCCAATCAGAATCACCCTCCTTCTCTTCTCCCCGGCTGGCTCAAATAGTAACTGCGATTTGATTGGCTGTATGTGAAGATTGACGTTTCCCAAGCCTTTGTCCAGCCTCGTTCTGTTTGCCCTCGTTTAACCCCTCCTCTTTGCGCACACAAAACGGCTATAATTTGTGACCAAATATATCAAATTTAAGTAATCAAATGCCGGCTATTACTACAACACACGGTTAGAGAGTTATTTTCACACCATCATCCATCAACTAAATCAAAAGATTTGAAAGCCGGAAAATATGTATATAAAAACCTACCTATGTTCTCGAAAACAGTTATTGGATTGATTGGATAGCCGGTTAAGAATTTATTATAACACTCACCCAGTCTTGGAAGTTTCGTCTGTATTGTTTGCCGTCCCAACTCCATCGTTTCGGGATCAACTAGAAGGGAGACACGCGGTTAGATAATTGCATCAAACCACAAATACAATAATGTATTTGTTATACTGTTAATGCCTCTATCAATAACAAAGTATACCATGCCAATAAAAATAGAAAGCAGTCAATATCGCGGAAACGAGACGTGAGAACAAGCTAATATAGACGAGAGCAGCGCAGCTTACCTCATACTCTTCCAGTTCCTCAACCAGGATCTATGGAGAGACAGTTGCTAGTCTTTAGCACACATTCAACCTATTTAGCAATTGTAGCTATCAAAGTTCTTGATATAACTTGTCATTCGTACCTGTGCCGATTTTTTACACGGTCCCGACTGGAGAAATCTGGCAATGAGGTAATACAATTCTGAAAATACAGAGGCGCATTAAATAGCCATTCAATAGCTAAGCTATCCAGGTAGATAACTAGGCAGCTAACATCAGCTAACTAGTTAGCTAGGCTAACTGATACAAGCCTTAAACTGTGTTTGCGTTCATATTGACACTCAACACCCACCAGCTTCGATTTCTGAACACTGTTCTTCTGCCATCACTTGATAAGAACACCGACATTTGATTAATTAATGTTTAGGTGTATTAGGAGAATAGCCACTTGAATTATTTCTACAGCAGGCAGCGTTCGGCCTTTTCCTTTCTCAAGCAAGCTAGCTAGCTAGCTATCTATCTCACCGCTTTGTTAGCGCCCTCCCGCGACCAATGACAGCAAATCTGCTATTCCAGCACGAACCACTTGGTGGCCATACCACCTGGTTTTGGAGGGCAGGTCGTACAGTATTTATCCCTTGATCATGATTACTCTGTTCCATTACATTACATATAAGATTAAGAGTCATTGGATGAAGGCCTCTTCTGTATGGGGGAGTTTTGTTAAGAGCCCCGACGCTCATTCTGAACATTAACACGCATCACTTGTGGTAAGCAACAATTTCTAAGATTTTACTGAGTTACATATAGTTTATAAAAGGAAATCAGTCAATTGAAATAAATAAATGAATCTCTAATCTATGGATTTCACCAGACTGGGAATACAGATATGCATCTATTGAAAAACAGGTAGGGGCGTGGATCAGAAAACCAGTCAGTACCTGGTGTGACCACCATTTGCCTCATGCGGCATGACACATCTCCTTCGCATAGAGTTGATCAGGCTGTTGATTGTGACCTATGGAATGTTGTCCCACTCTTCAGTGGATGTGCGAAGTTGCTGGATACAGTTGAAGTCAGAAGTTTACATACACTTAGGTTGGAGTCATTAAAACTCGTTTTTCAACCACTCCACAAATTTCTTGTTAACAAACTATAGTTTTGGCAAATCGGTTAGGACATCTACTTTGTGCATGACACAAGTAATTTTTCCAACAATTGTTTACAGATAGATAATTTCACTTATCACAATTCCAGTGGGTCAGAAGTTTACATACACTAAGTTGACTGTGCCTTTAAACAGCTTGGAAAATTCCAGAAAATGATGTAATGGCTTTAGAAGCTTCTGAAAGGCTAATGGACATCATTTGAGTCAATTGGAGGTGTACCTGTGGATGTATTTCAAGGCCTACCTTCAAACTCAGTGTCTCTTTGCTTGACATCATGGGAAAATCAAAAGAAATCAGCCAAGACCTCAGATTTTTTTTTTTGTAGACCTCCTCAAGTTTGGTTCATCCTTGGGAGCAATTTCCAAACGCCTGAAGGTACCACGTGAGGAAGGAAAATTATGTGGATATATTGAAGCAACATCTCAAGACATCAGTCAGGAAGTTAAAGCTTGGTCGCAAATGAGTCTTCCAAATGGACAATGACCCCAAGCATACTTCCAAAGTTGTGGCAAAATGGCTTAAGGACAACAAAGTCAAGGTATTGGAGTGGCCATCACAAATCCCTGACCTTAATCCTATAGAAAATGTGTGGGCAGAACTGAAAAAGCATGTGCGAGCAAGGAGGCCTACAAACCTGACTCAGTTACACCAGCTCTGTCAGGAGGAATGGGCCAAAATCCACCCAACTTATTGTGGGAAGCTTGTGGAAGGCTACCCGAAACGTTTGACCCAAGTTAAACAATTTAAAGGCAATGCTACCAAATACTAATTGAGTGTACGTAAACTTCTGACCCACTGGGAATGTGATGAAAGAAATAAAATATGAAATAAATAATTCTCTCTACTATTATTCTGACATTTCACATTAAAATAAAGTGGTGATCCTAACTGACCTAAGACAGGGAATTTTTACTAGGATTAAATGTCAGGAATTGTGAAAACGGAGTTTAAATGTATTTTGCTAAGGTGTATGTAAACTTCCGACTTCAACTGTATATAGTGGGTACTGGAACACGCTGTCTTACACGTCGATCCAGAGCATCCCAAACCTGCTCAATGGGTGACATGTCTGGTGAGTATTCAGGCCATGCGACATGGGGCTGTGCAATATCATGCTGAAACACAAGGTGATGGCGGCAGGTGAATAGCACGACAATGGGCCTCACGATCTCGTCACGGTACGTCTGTGCATTCTAATTGCCATTGATAAAATGCAATTGTGTTCGTTGTCCGTAGCTTATGCCTGCCCATACCATAACCCCACCACCATCATGGGCCACTCTGTTCACAATGTTGATGTCAGTGGAAACCGGGATTCATCCGTGAAGAGCACACTTCTCCAGCATGCACAGTGGCCATTGAAGGTGAGCATTTGCCCACTGAAGTCGGTTTCGACGCCGAACTGCAGTCAGGTCAAGACGCTGGTGAGGATGACAAGCACGCAGATAATCTTCCCTGAGATGGTTTCTGACAGTTTGTGCAGAAATTCTTTGGTTGTGCAAACCCACAGTTTCATCAGCGGTCCGGATGGCTGGTCTCAGATGATCCCGCAGGTGAAGAAGCCGGAAGTGGAGGTCCTGGGCTGGAGTGGTTACATGTGGTCTGCCGTTGAGGACGGTTGTACGTACTGCCAAATTCTCTAAAATGATGTTGGAGGCGGCTTATGGTAGAGAAATTAACAATAAATTATCTGGCAACAGCTCTGGTGGAGATTCCTGCACTCAGCATGCCAATTGCACGCTCCCTCAACTTGACACATCTGTGGCATTGTGTTGTGACAAATTGCACATTTTAGTGGCCTTTTATTGTCCCCAGCACAAGGTGCACCTGTGTAATGATCATGCTGTTTAATCAGCTTCTTGATATGCCACACCTGTCAGGTGGATGGATTATCTTGGCAAAGGAGAAATGTTCACTAACAGGGATATAAACAAATGTGTGCACATCATTTGAGAGAATCATCAATCTACACACAATACCTCATAATGACAAAGCAAAAACAGGGGTTTAGACTTTTGCAAATGTATTAAAAATAAAGAACTGAAATATCACATTTACATAAGTATTCAGACCCTTTACTCAGTACTTTGTTGAAGCACCTTCGGCAGCGATTACAGCCTCGAGTCTTGGGTATGACGCTACAAGCTTGACACACTTGTATTCTCCCATTCTTCTCTGCAGATCCTCTGAAGCTTCAGGTTGGATGGGGAGCATCGCTGCACAGCTATTTTCAGGTCTCTCCAGAGATGTTCGATGGGGTTCAACTCCGGGCTCTGGCTGGAGAGACTTGTCCCGAAGCCACTCCTGCGTTGTCTTGGCTGTGTGCTTAGGGTCGTTGTCCTGTTGGAAGGTGAACCTTAGCCCCAGTCTGAGGTCCTGAGCAGGTTTTCGTCAAGGATCTCTCTGTACTTTGCTCCGTCCATCTTTCCCTCAAACCTGACTAGTCTCCCAGTCCCTGCTGCTGAAAAACATCCCCACAGCATGATGCTGCCACCACCATGCTTCACCGTAGGGATGGTGCCAGGTTTCCTCCAGACGTGACGCTTGGCTTTCAGGCCAAAGAGTTCAATCATGGTTTCATCAGACCAGAGAATCTTGTTTCTCATGGTCTGAGAGTCCTTTAGGTGCCTTTTGGCAAACTCCAAGCGGGCTGTCATGTGCCTTTTACTGAGGAGTGGCTTCCGTCTAGCCACTCTACCATAAAGGTCTGATTGGCGGAGTGCTGCAGAGATGGTTGTCCTTCTGGAAGGTTCTCGCATCTCCACAGAGGAACTCTGGAGCGCTGTCAGAGTGACCATCAGGTTATTGACCAAGGCCCTTCTCCCCGATTGCTCAGTGTGGCCGGGCGATGGAGGCCACTGTGTTCTTGGGGACCTTCAATGCTTCAGAAATGTGTTTGTACCCTTCCCCAGATCTGTGCCTCGACACAATCCTGTCTCTGAGCTCTACGGACAATTCCTTCGACCTCATGGGTTGGTTTTTGCTCTGACATGCACTGTCAACTGTGGGACCTTATATAGACAGGTGTGTGCCTTTCGAAATCATGTCCACTCAATTGAATTTACCACAGGTGGACTCCAATCAAGTTGTAGAAACATCTCAAGGTTGATCAATGGAAACAGGATGCACCGGAGCTAAATTTTGAGTCTAATAGCAAAAGGGTCTGAATACTTATATAAATAAGGTATCTGTTTTTTGTTTTTTATAAATTTGTAAATGTATTATAATTCAAAAGCATGTATGCCCACATCATTAGGGACATTTAAAAAAATGTCTACTTAAATAAGGACTTTTGAAGAATTACAACCACACACATTTACAGTACAAGAGAATATTCATTTCTTTCATGAGAACAATTTTAGAAAGTCATCAACCTAGTAAGAAACATTTCCACAAAGATGGATCCCTCGAATATCCTATTCAGAATGAAAACCCCCACAAAAACTAGTGGTGCAGCAGTTTGTTAGTTAGTCCTTTGGTCAGTTGCCCCACCCAAATTCAATATCATGGAGTTGCTATTTGATGCCGGCGTTGTAATGGTTCTAATCTGCAATGGGAACTGTCAACCACTACTTAGCCATAGTTAGAGCATGATTACCAATTTGCATGTCAAACAATCATAATGTATATAACTGAAAAATATAATGCTTTTGCAAGACAGATAATCATGTCTTTGTGGTTATTTGTGCATGCAAGTAGGGTCCTTTCAGTCTAATTTTTTATTTCGGTCAGCCAAATCCAGTAGGTTGTAAAATGCTACCTTTGACCAGAATCTGTTATAAAAATGTTTCCCATACGTCAGTATTACAATAATAATACATAACACAATAAATCTAAACTGAATACAGAACAACTGGTTGGCTAGATGGTCTATGTAGCCTACTATTGTGAGTTGACATATGGTAATGATACAGTAATAATGACACGTAAAGTAATGAGACCGAGCGCAACGTCATGAGGAAAATTCTAATTACTATTTTATTAAATTCCAATTAAACATCCAGAACTTCAGTGGGAACACAGCTGCATATTTCGATAGATGAATTTTCAGTGTTAAAATCCCAAAATGTTTTTTAAAAAGCATAAGCAACTTCCAACAAGCCTCTTCCTCCGTTAAAATAATTTGTGTCATCAAAATTATTCAAAAGCATGTATGCCCACATCATTAGGGAAATTTCAAAAATGTTCTACTTAATCTCCAGCACCAGCCCAACATCAACATATGTGAAAATGGGGCGTTTCTATGTTTTGTAGTAAAAATGACAGAGGAAGATAAGTGTCCAATTAGTAGCCAATGGCGACTCATTTCTTAAAATCACACCATGCACACCGATGGTGTCATTGGAAACACTTAGGAAAATATTCCACTCTTTTTTTACAACAAAACATAGAAACGCGCAATTTTCACATATGTTGATGTTGGGGTGGTGCTGGAGATTATGAAGTTGAAAAATTGCCCTTTAAGCCTGGAATGTTTTTAAAAAATTACATAATTTCTCTTACAGTAAAATCAAGTTGAAAGTAAGTAAACCCCAACAAAGAAAAAACACTGTACATAAAAGGGTAAAAATACAACCACCTACAAAAGTGAAATGTTCTGAGTTGACGAACCTACAATATGACACTATACCACTTGCAATTAGTCTGCCATCCAGCATTATTTTTTGAAGTCCCAACAAGGTACCAACACTAATAAAAAACCAAAACCGTAATTGTTTGCTTAAAAAAACTTTATGACCACTGCACAACAGAACAATCCTCCATATTTAGCTTTGTTTTGTGCTAAAAACCTGTACCAATAATTACAAAATTGTTGATAAAAATATTCCTCTGATAAGGTAATGGAGGTTTTAGGGAAAACACATGAGACATGGGGGCCATACAAGGGAGGGGATTGGACGGATGGGAGCAGTGCTACTCAGTCTTCTCTTCTGGGGTCTCTACCTGTAAGATGACAAAAGAGCCATTGACTGTGAGACACCGAGAACCCTGAAATGATTCATGCTTTTAGATGGATTTGCCTCCAGAATTTTTATTTTATTTTATTTATTTAACCAGGTAAGCCAGTTGAGAACAAGTTCTCATTTACAACTGCGACCTGGCCAAGATAAAGCAAAGCAGTGCGATAAAAACAACAACACAGAGTTACATATGGGGTAAACAAAACAAAGTCAAAAATAACAGAAAATATATATACAGTGTGTGCGAATGTAGTAAGTTATGGAGGTAAGGCAATAAATAGGCCATAGTGCAAAATAGTTACAATTTCGTATTAACACTGGAATGATAGATGTGCAAAAGATGATGTGCAAATAGAGATACTGGGGTGCAAATTAGCAAAATAAATAATATGGGGATGAGGTAGTTGGGTGGGCTAATTACAGAAAGGCTGTGTACAGGTGCAGTGATCGGTAAGCTGCTCTGACAACTGACGCTTAAAGTTAGTGAGGTCTCCAGCTTCAGAGATTTTTGCAGTTCGTTCCAGTCATTGGCAGCAGAGAACTGGAAGGAATGGCGGCCAAAGGAGGTGTTTGCTTTGGGGATGACCAGTGAGATATACCTGCTGGAGCGCAGACTACGGGTGGGTGTTGCTATGGTGACCAGTGAGCTAAGATAAGAAGGGGATTTGCCTAGCAGTGATTTATAGATGACCTGGAGAGTGTTGGAGGCTATTTTGTAAATGACATCGCCGAAGTCAAGGATCGGTAGGATAGTCAGTTTTACGAGGGCATGTTTGGCAGCATGAGTGAAGGAGGCTTTGTTGCGAAATAGGAAGCCGATTCTAGATCTAACTTTTGATTGGAGATGCTTAATGTGAGTCTGGAAGGAGAGTTTACAGTCTAACCAGACACCTAGGTATTTGTAGTTGTCCACATACTCTAGGTCAGACCCGCCGAGAGTAGTGATTCTAGTCGGGTGGGCGGGTGCAAGCAGCGTTCGGTTGAAGGGCATGCATTTAGTTTTACTAGTGTTTAAGAGCAGTTGGAGGCTACGGAAGGAGTGTTGTATGGCGTTGAAGCTCGTTTGGAGGTTTGTTAACACAGTGTCCAATGAAGGGCCAGATGTATACAAAATGGTGTCGTCCGCATAGAGGTGGATCCGAGCGTCACCAGCAGCAAGAGCGACATCATTGATATACACAGAGAATAGAGTCGGCTCGAGAATTGAACCCTGTGGCACCCCCATAGAGACGGCCAGAGGTCCAGACAACAGGCCCTCCGATTTGACATATTGAACTCTATCTGAGAAGTAGTTGGTGAACCAGGCGAGGCAGTCATTAGAGAAACCAAGGCTATTTAGTCTGCCAATAAGAATGCGGTGGTTGACAGAGTCGAAAGCCTTGGCCAGGTCGATGAAGACGGCTGCGCAGTACTGTCTTTTATCGATCACGTTTATAATATCGTTTAGGACCTTGAGCGTGGCTGAGGTGCACCCATGACCAGCTCGGAAACCGGATTGCATAGCGGAGAAGGTACGGTGGGGATTCGAAATGGTCGGTGATCTGTTTGTTAACTTGACTTTCAAATACTTTCGAAAGGCAGGGCAGGATGGATATAGGTCTTTAACAGTTTGGATCTAGAGTGTCACCCCCTTTGAGATATTTAAAGTAAAAATAATTGTTAATACAAAAGAGACAGTGTATCACTGATATGACATGACATACTTTGTCTGTCTTGGTCTGGCCATTTTCAGTCTGGGTCTCTTTAGGCTCCTTGACCGCTGCTGCCTTCGCCTTCTTCTTGCCATTTACTACTTTTTCTTTCTGTGGGGACAATTTACATATATGTCAAATTGTCTCTGCCTGGCACCTCCGAATGGTCAAATTGTCTAAACATTTAATATTGGAATGTGCCGGAAAGAGAACATGACAAACTAATAATAGGCATAATTATGCTTAATCATGTAAATGAGTAGATATTGAAGACAGGTAAATATTACCTTAGCTGGCTTTTTGGGTTTTGGAGGGACTGGTTTCTGAAAAATACATAAGACAATATTGATACAATAGATTCTCAAAGCAATGCATTGCATACCATGAAACAGGCCAAAAAACATGTTATAGATTAAAAAAGTTTTCGCAAGAAAATCAATTTTTTGTTGTAGTGCTGATGCCCTATATCAAACAATCACATTTCCAAAAGGAAGCTGTAAAAACAAAACTAATTTACTCACCGATGACAACCGTGCAGATCTCCTTGAAGGCTAATGTAACGAAAAATAACAATACTACTCAAAGGTGTGACGACATTTCTAAAGGAATAGAATGAGGATGCTTGATGTATCTTCATAATGCAGACAATTGAATATTTCCCTATTTCAAGAATGCATTATCCTTGAACTATTGGAGTATTTTCTGGTTTTTACGACCACTGGTGATTTTATCAAATTATTTGATCGCTATTGAGGATTTTAATCATGGTGAAGATTGCAACCTGTAGCCTATTCAACAAGGGTGATATTCAAGTGTGTGTGTGTATATCACTTACCTCCTTGACATCACCATCGGTTCCCTGCCAAATTGATGAAAAATACATTACTCAAGATGATAGGAAACAAAAGCATGCATATCTAAAACATAATATTGCTGAATATTTAGCTGTCGTCTAAAATGAGTAACTGCAAGTTTACAAACTTACTTAGCCCCTTGCAATAGCCTACACTTTGCCCATACATACAGCCTGTACTAATTCTAGACAAGCGCTTAAAAATATATGCGTTGAGTAGAAGAAGCAGTTGCAGTATTACTTTTTCAGTGGGACGTTAGTCCTCATCGGTTTTCGCCAAATGTCTGAGGGGGAGGAGCAGAATCAACTGTGTTCTGCCACCCGGTGATAAAAAGGGGCAATAGCACCTATTTAACGCGATGAACAAAGAAATCATTAAAATAATTCAAATTTGCGACGGTCTTAGAATGAAATTAAATAGAGGGAAAAATGAAGAGTTTTTAATTAATTTTTCTATACCCCCTCAATGCAGATTTACACGATCTAACTATCAAAAGGCATTTTTGTTTCGCTGTGTTCGCGCAGGATAGGATAGGAACCGCAAAGCATGGCTGCCTATGGTTTCAATAGCATGGACATCCAGTCTGGCTTCAGACCAGACACAAGATTGTGTGCGCCTCTCAAGAAATCTCTCAAAACATTCTAAATTCTGGAAAATACGGCGATATTTGCAAACCAAAAAAATCAAATTATTATTTAAAATAGTTTTTTTTTTTTTTTTTTACCAGAGTGAACATAAATGCATATGGCAGATTTGTATTAAATCTCCGTTGTCTCGAAGGCTTCATAATATCAGACTGATTTATACCGGCAAAAAGTATATCCGCATACTGTAATCTAGGCTCGCTACATACCTTTCTCTTGGGCATGTTGGACTGTAGGTTCTCTTCTTTAATGGAAACTAAAGAGCTATCTTTTGTGATTGAGTTCACAGTTTGCAGAGACTGGCGTTCTCTTATTACTAATGCTGTAGTAAACACATAGCACATTAAACCCAGTGGTTGGATGGGGTGGGGGTAGGTGTGGCTAAATGATGACTGATGTTATGCTTGGCCAATCAAAGGATGGCACCAGGTGTCACAAAATAAATAGATTTTTAACGTAGTTCATTTACGCGCCAAATTCCTAGTGAAAGTGAATTATGTATTTATCATGTTTTGTAACAGTATCCACTGACTGGCGCATGAAAATAAGCAATCACATACGTTATAATGTTGCACTTCTGCATGCATGCATGCTCTTAACCAGTGTTGTTGTACTCGAGACCACATATCGAGTGTCTCGGTCTTGACTCGGTCTCGGACAGTGAGGACTCGTAATTTCTTCCCGAGACCAGCCAAGTAAAAAACGGAATTATCAGCTTCCATTCAGTCAGTGCATAAAATTGTTTCGCCAGGCCAAATATATACATTCCTTTCTTGAAACAATATCTTAACAGGCTTTATCTGTTATAGACATGTTTGCGCAGTGCCGAACCTATAGCCCTTCAGTGTGTAACAGGTTAGTGATTCTGAAATGCTACCGCATTCAAATAGTGTAGTGCACTTTTTGTAAAACACAAAGGGCCAGTGGCGTAGTGGAGGGTATACGCAGGTATAAACCGTATATCCACCTTTTTTTCTCAGTAGGCATTGCTTATACTCACTTCTTAATCCCCATTTATGCGTAGCAGTGTAGTGGAGGTATACGACTTATCAATTATGTAGTACAATAGAGTAATTATTCACAAAGTAGCCTACACAATCGCAAAGCACGTGAAATATATTCACATTCGCGCTGGACACAGCCTAGTTTCAGCGAAATATAATCTGCCGGCAGCTCTGAGCTGTTTTTGGCATGGAGCAGCTCACAGAAGGATGACATCCGTAGCCGACAGGGTAGGAAAGAGCAGCTCACAGAAGAATGACATCGGTAGCCGGTAGGATAGGAAAGACGTTTTAATTTATGAATCTACCAGTGAATGCTAACTAAGGCAATGGGTATGCAAATCAGGTATTTAAAAAGTTTAGTCGTAAGTGTGGGTTAGTAGGCTATTTGTTATGCGCAATTGTCATCATGCCTGTTTACATCAGGGTCTTGGAGGGGCCTGGGTGGACATAGGCTCACCCACTGGGGCAGTGTTGCCAACTCCTCAGTAAGGAAAGTAGCTATTGGCTGTCCTAAAAGTCGCTAAATGATGTCATCACCTAATTTGCATAATTGGACATGTGCATGTAATTGTGATGGATGCTGTAGGAGAGAGGAATAATGTTGTGGAAGAGACAAAAAGTGAGTAAAAAACACCCTACATTTACATCCCGCCTTGAATGTAAGCCAGGGCAGGATCAGCCAGTGGCGGCTTCCCGCATGCAAGATTCATTTGCAGTCTGGACGCGGAGAGGTGAACATCTCCTGCTCTGACTGCAGCTGGGAGGGACTGCTGCGCAAGGACTGGGCCGCCTGTGAATGCTTTGGGACGGGGGAGGGGCCCACGGCAAACGGGGGTGACTGGGGTGGGGCCCACGGCAGCACCCGCTGCTTGTTGAGAAAAGTAAGAACGATACGTGCTTTCGCGTCAGAGTCTCCAATAACACCAGAAAAAGTTGCTAGATTTGTCGCTAGTCTCTTTTTTGAAAATGTGTTGTTAGAGGGGTCTGAAAACTCGCTAAATATAGCTACAAAGTCGCTAAGTTGGCAACACTGCACTGTGGAGCCAGGGCCCTAACAGGCCCACCCAATCAGATTGATGTGGTTTAAGCATTGTTGTGGACTTAGACCAACAACAACAAAAAGTGTGATTTTGAGTGTGAAAATCTGAAAGATCTATAGGAAAACTCATTAAAAAAAACAGGATTTATCACACAGGGTAACTTTCCTTTGCTGGTCAGGCCACTTGGGAACTTTTTGGCAAGATTAGAGTATACCCACTACCATAGGGCTGATGGAAAGACAGCAGTCACACAGCATGATGTTAAAGGATAAGCAGTCCATAAACTCAGACATAATAAGCCAATAGGTCCCAATCATAAGCATTCAAAAACACAACCATTAAGCATTTCCCAATCGAAATTTACAACCATTACTTCCCATTCCAAAAAACATTTCACATTTAGCACACAAAGTAAGCAGTGACCTAAAGATGAAAGTGGAACTGACAGCGTTGACTACTTTGCAGATATGAAACAAAAAAACAACCATAATATCTGTGAAAAATATCAAATACCCAGTTTATGCTACAAAACCAACTTTATAAGAGGTTTTACAAATAGGTTCTATTTGACTAAACGTTCCATGGCGTACACTAAGGCATTGTTGGCAGAATACATAGATACAATTCAATGCATGATTCATATAACTCACCACTACATTTCTTGGTAGGCCAAAAAATATGTCAATCAGGTTGTAAATCACAGCAGGCCTGTTACATTGTTTGCTGCTTCCATTCGGGATACGCTGATTTAGTTTCAATGACTCAATATTCTGGACCAAAAAACGGAGGAATGTAACTAAGGCTGGGAATGTCAATACAATCAAACTAGCAAGGGCAATGATCACAAGTTAGTCATCATGTGGCCAATAGGCTAGCATATCTATTTATGCTAGCCTAACACGGAGCCTACCGTTAGCTAGATATCTAGCTAGCTAGTGGCTAGGAGGATGTCATGTCATGCCATTGGAGGAGTGGGTGAGTGACTGACTTTTTCCCCCCATTTCAGTGGCTATACACAGCTATAGATGCATGTGTCATTTGGTTAGCTAGAAAGAACTTGAACGACTGTTATACAGTTAGCATATCTCTTGCGTTCGCAAATTCACTCTGGCTATCTACTCCGATTTCAGAGCACCCTCTGAGTGTGCCAGAGCACAGAACTGATGAATTTACGAACGTACAACACCTGCTGAATATGACCAGTGTCAGTAAACGTAGGCAAAAAAAGTAATAGTTAGTCAAGAACGCTCTAGATAACATGTAAACAGCCTAACCAACTCTGCTACGGCAAGTAAAATGGTCAGTGAGGTGTTCTATCATTTGTGTCTGGAAGTAGCTAGTTAGCAAGCTAGCCAACTTTAGCCAGTTAGCTTGGGTGCTTGGTTGGGACAAGCATGCATTGGCAGCTGCAGAAAGACGAGGAGGCTACAATTTCCCATTGTTTATCAGTGCAATTTTGTTGGCAAACTAGCTGAAAAAGTTTAGAGGGTTTATCTAATGTTCCTTCGTTAGATTTTAGCTCATCTTGCTCTGGCTAGCATTAGTTGTTGATCTTGTTGATGTGCATAACTGAGGGAGAGAGAGCCTACCTTTTCATGGTTTGTATGATCAATAGGACTGTAAAGTTACCAAATGTAAGAGGACTCCCATGGTGTTTACATATTTGCAGAAATCCATTCAGGTTTATTTTCTGGCTTTTGGCAAATGCGTTCTGATTATCTAAAGTCACGCTGTTGCAGCTGACTGTAAACACACAGTCCAGTTCAAAGTGAATGATGGCAGAACCGTGTGGTAAATCACTTGTTCGTATAAAGGTCTACTGTACCTCTGATTGGCTATAGCGCACCGGTCTGCAATAAAAAAAAAAACACAGTTCCGCTCACCAGATGATGATCATTTGAAACGTAACTTCTTGTTGAAAGTTATTCTTGAAATGGGAAAAGCTAACAAATTACCAACATCCTCTTTGATAACACCAGCTGCAGCCGGTGCAAACTAGCCAACAACAAAAGCTAGCTAGCTAGACCATGGGAAAACTACTGCTCGCTATTGCGTAGTGACCTGTTGGCCTTCAAGAAGGCAGAAGTTACCATATGTTTTTGTAAAAACAGCCCCACTCATTAAGTCAAAATGCGATTGGTTGATTCCATTGTTACTCCAAATTGTTTCCCTAATACAGTTGAATGGCAAATGCCTTTATCTAGCTTCTAGTGGCCTAGCCAATGGCTGACTTACAGTGAGGGAAAAAAGTATTTGATCCCCTGCTGATTTTGTACGTTTGTCCACTGACAAAGAAATGATCAGTCTATAATTTTAATGGTAGGTTTATTTGAACAGTGAGACAGAATAACAACAAAAAAATCCAGAAAAACGCGTGTCAAAAAAGTTATAAATTGATTTGCATTTTAATGAGGGAAATAAGTATTTGACCCCCTCTCAATCAGAAAGATTTCTGGCTCCCACGTGTATTTTATACAGGTAACGAGCTGAGATTAGGAGCACACTCTTAAAGGGAGTGCTCCTAATCTCAGTTTGTTACCTGTGTAAAAGACACCTGTCCACAGAAGCAATCAATCAATCAGATTCCAAACTCTCCACCATGGCCAAGACCAAAGAGCTCTCCAAGGATGTTAGGGACAAGATTGTAGACCTACACAAGGCTGGAATGGGCTACAAGACCATCGCCAAGCAGCTTGGTGAGAAGGTGACAACAGTTGGTGCGATTATTCGCAAATGGAAGAAACACAAAATAACTGTCAATCTCCCTCGGCCTGGGGCTCCATGCAAGATCTCACCTCGTGGAGTTGCAATGATCATGAGAACGTTGAGGAATCAGCCCAGAACTACATGGGAGGATCTTGTCAATGATCAAGGCAGCTGGGACCATAGTCACCAAGAAAACAATTGGTAACACACTACACCGTGAAGGACTGAAATCCTGCAGTGCCCGCAAGGTCCCCCTGCTCAAAAAGCACATATACAGGGCCGTCTGAAGTTTGCCAATGAACATCTGAATGATTCAGAGGAGAACTGGGTGAAAGTGTTGTGGTCAGATGAGACCAAAATCGAGCTCTTTGGCATCAACTCAACTCTCCGTGTTTGGAGGAGGACGAATGCTGCTATGACCCCAAGAACACCATCCCCACCGTCAAACATGGAGGTGGAAACATTATGCTTTGG